CACTAGATCTTCTAAGGCCGAGGTTTTTTCCGTCAAAGAAAAACCCCAATCGATCTCGACTGACATGGCCGAACTATGTCACACACACGATATCTTAGAGTTCGCAATGACCGTAGTCGGTCAAAAACCCCGCGTAGAAGCGCCTCACGTAAGCGATCTGGCTCTCGACCACGAGAGACAGACAATCCCGACTGGTATCATAACCAGTACGGTAAGTTTTCCAGAAACTGCAGGAAACCTTGCAATTATCCGACCCCAAAATCGAGTGACACGAAAAACATTTCGGGAAACTTCCCAGCCGGCACGCGTTAACGGCAACCGTAGCCGGCGAACACAGCCGCCTCTTATATGTCACGGATGTGACTACGAAAGTTCGCTACCTCGTCGACACTGGCGCAGAAGTTAGCGTTCTTCCAGCAAATCTCGACGACAGACTTCGCGAGTCTGTTTTAAGTTTACAGGCGGCAAACGGAAAGCCGATTGCTACTTACGGTAAAAGGTACGTCTACCTTAACGTGGGTTTACGTAAACCCATACACTGGATTTTCGTGGTTGCAGATGTCTCTATGCCAATCATTGGTATTGACCTGTTACAACACCACAATCTACTCATCGACACACGCGCACGAAGGTTAATAGACGGAAACACTAAGTTGTCCGTTTGCGTAACTCCTTGTTTTGGTTGCAGGTTATCCCCAGTCACGATTAAGCACGCCATAGACCCCTTGTACCAAGCTGTACTCGACAAATACCCCGGGATATACCAATCGCAATCGAAATTACCTTGTGTAACCAGCAATGTTACACATCACATCTCGACTACAGGACCACCTGTATTTTCGAAAGCCCGAAGACTCGCTCCCGAAAAGCTTAGGTTAGCTAAAAACGAATTCAACCACATGATGGACCTAGGAATAATTCGACCATCGAATAGTCCATGGGCATCCCCATTGCACATGGTCCCTAAAAAGGACAGCAATGATTGGCGGCCAACTGGTGATTATCGACGTCTGAATGCTAAAACCATTCCCGATCGTTACCCGCTGCCTCATATTCACGATTTGACAGCTACCTTGAAAGGCACAACTGTCTTTTCGAAAATCGACTTGGTTAAAGCTTATAACCAAATCCCGATGGCAACTGACGACATTCCTAAAACCGCCATCATCACTCCCTTCGGTCTTTACGAATTTCTACGAATGCCTTTTGGTTTAAGAAACGCGGCTCAAACCTTCCAAAGGTTTATAGACGACGTCTTCCGAGGTCTCAACTTCGTACATGCGTATGTTGATGACTGTCTAATAGCAAGTCCGGACAGAGAATCACATCTCGAGCATCTGGACATTGTTTTCGATCGACTCCAAAGGCATGGCATTACTGTCAACATACAGAAATGCCAAATCGGAACAAACTCCTTAGACTTCCTAGGACACACCATTGATGCCCAAGGCATCCGACCACTTAGGAGCAAAGTGGCGGCCATTCTGGATTACCCAGAACCGACCACGATCAAGCAGTTACGAACTTTCAACGGACTCGTAAGTTTCTATAGACGGTTCATACCTAAATGCGCATCCCTAATGAAACCGTTAACCGATTAGCTTCGTGGAAATGCGAAATCAATTAGTTTAGACGACATAGCCCGTAAAGCATTTTCCACAGTTAAGGAACACATCGCTAAAGCAACCTTGCTTGCTCATCAGGACAGTCAAACGCCCATTAGTATCGCCGTAGACGCATCCGACTCAGCAATCGGAGCAGTCTTACAACAATGGGTTAACAACTCGTGGCAACCTTTAGGATTTTTCTCGAGACGGTTGCTAGACGCGGAATCTAGGTACAGCACGTTCGGTAGGGAACTCCTAGCTATGTATTGTGCTGTACGGCATTTTCAACATTCCATCGAAGGAAGAGAATTCACGCTCTTTACCGATCACAAACCTCTTACCTTCTCTTTAAGTTCATCTTCAGACAAGTACTCATCGCGAGAGTCTCCACAACTCGACTACATTTCGCAGTTTACTTCAGACATACAACATATTTCTGGAGCAAACAATGTAGTCGCAGACGCCTTGTCTCGAATTAGCTCCTTGAACAGTTTCCAAGGAATCGACCTTCTTAAACTCGCTCAGCTTCAAAAAGAAGACATTGATCTTCAGCATGAGTTATCCTCGACAACTCTAAAACTAAGTATTAAGCAGATAGGAACAGGTAAGGGAACCTTACTCTGTGACACATCTACAGGTAGGGATCGTCCAATTGTACCAAAACATTATCGCCGCAACGTCTTCAATACGTTGCACAATCTTTCTCATCCAGGTGCTCGTGCAACAATCGAACTTATAGCCGAACGCTTTTGTTGGCCTGGTATGAATAAAGACTTGAGGGAGTGGGCACGCTCCTGTGTAAGCTGCCAGAAATCTAAGGTGATCAGACACAACAAATGTCCCTTAGGCTCTTTCAAAACCCCTGACGCTCGTTTCGACCACGTCCATCTAGATTTGGTAGGACCCTTACCCGACTCGAACGGATACTCATATCTCCTAACATGTGTAGACCGTTTTACTCGATGGCCAGAAGCAGTACCGATTAAGGACATTACTGCTGAAACAGTGGCTCGCACTTTCGTCGAACGATGGGTAGCAAATTTCGGCTGCCCTTCCACAATCACTACAGACCGCGGACGCCAGTTCGAATCTGGACTTTTCCGTTGTCTGACCTCACTATTAGGAATCACGCGCTTCCGAACGACCGCCTACCACCCACAAGCAAACGGGTTGGTAGAACGTTTTCATCGACAACTAAAAGCTTCATTATCAGCTTCAAACGTTTCACAGTGGACAGACGCTCTTCCACTCGTCTTGCTAGGTATCCGCAATGCAGTGAAAGCTGACATTGGATACACTGCATCTCAACTCGTTTACGGAACGACACTCCGACTCCCAGGAGAATTCGTGGATCCTTCAGCTTCTTCATTGAACATGGATCTAAACTCTTACACCAGTAGGCTTACAAACGCTATGCGTTCAGTTAAACCTGCTCACACTCGACCTCAATCAACTGATGTTTTCGTTCAACCCGAATTACGACATAGTACACACGTCTTCGTTCGTCGAGACTCACATCGACGACCCCTGGAATCAGCATACGAAGGACCCTTCAAAGTTCTTCAACGCGAACCTAAGTACTATGTAGTCGATAAGAACGATACGAAAGATAGCATCAGTATCGATCGACTCAAAGCTGCGTACCTAGAAGGAAACCCTAGCTACTTCGATTTTCCTTCGGTACAAGCAAACGACACAGCTACTACACTCGTAATACCCCACACGACAACCGACACACAACTTGATACTTCGTCAACGTCGATAGAAAAACCTAAAACAACGCGTTCTGGAAGACGAGTAAGATTTCCAGAACATCTTAACGAATATTGCACGTAGGACATAAGCTTTATCTTGAATTACCCTTTCAAAGTTTATTATAAATTTTTTTTAATATGCTCATTTTTTTATTTATGTAAAAAAACAAAACAAAAAACAACATTTTTTTGAGCGTATATATATATATATATTTATATATTGAAAAAAAAACCAAAAGAAAACCTTTTTTCCGATCGCTTTTACGCTGTTTGTAAGTGTATCAGTTTATTTTTTCCGCTCATCTTGTGTCCTTACGCAAGTACGAGTGTATTTTTCGACATGCACTCACACGTTTTATTTTTCCTCTTTTCCAGGACGGCTGGAAAAGAACGACGAAGTTTCGCAAGAAACCGAAATTTTCATTGTACTATATTTCTTTATTGCTATGTTGTACATTTTGGTCCCATAGTTTAAGGAAAGACGACCAGATGCTGCTAAACGAAGCAAGCTATCAGAAGAGTGTTTACCAGCGACAAACTCGTTGGGTTTAAACTTCTGGCTGGTCACGTCTTAAGGGCATCACTACCTCACTAGGGGGGGGGAGTGATCTGTAGCTGTAAATAATTCCCCAAAATCAATAGCTCATTAAGTGTTCGACATTGGATGCTGACCACGTTGTTTAAGTGGACTTGTTTTGCTGAAGGCTTTCGGTCATGCATCCGCACCAGATCACGTTTCGACTCGGCGTGGGACACAGCTCCTACGTTTCATTAGCCAGCTCATAGAAAAGGTCCTCGATATATTGGTAACGAATCAAATATATCTTTCCTGCCTCTTCTCGTCTGACTTCTGATTTCTATCTGACTGGGAACGATCGAACATAGAAGGTGCTACTGGTATCCAGTTGTAAAACTAGAATATCCGTTGCATCATCAACCCTCTCCCTATAAACACCAAGAAATACACAAAGTGAAAAATAGGCAGCAGTAACTTCCCACACACAGAGTACTTCCTGGCAGTTCTCAGTATCACACTACAACTGCTTGATAGGGCCTAACACTCTTGATGTCCCTTCCGAATAACATTCCTCAGTCGATAAAGTACAAACAATCAGGAACACTTAGCAATCGGACTCTGAAGTTACCTAATCTTATCAGCGTTTAACCAAGATGTCATTTGGTGAAAAAGATCAAGTTATGTCCTCCCTAAGAAGGATATCGCTACCCTGGAACATATTCCAAAGAAGAGAAGTTACATTGTCCGAGGATTAAAATACAAATCCTACCCAGCTCGCTTGGAGGCACTTATTCCTTCAGAGATATAGGCATGAATAAATATTTTGATAAGTACCATAACCATACCAAAACAACGAGAAGTGAGGTCAATGAAATCAATCTGTTTATGCGAGCTTGTCACAACGATATCGGATAGTAAAAGTCAAGCTCACTCACGAACCAAATGTATCAGTACCGAAAGACTTGTCATATTTATTGGGATCTTTGTAACGTAGAAACTGAGAAGGTATAAATGATCACCAATAAAAAACCCATACATTTAAGACAGGTCTTCAGAAATATATCACATACACCCGTTTAATGTCAGAACATTGAGTAATGTATGTATCATAATGTTTTAGTCAGCTGTTGTTACCGAATTAAGAGTTGATGCCTTTTTAAAGTACTAAATGTGTTCACGCCTTAGCATAGTTATTTTCTTTGGGATCGTCCTATCACTTTTGCAGTTGGATGTTGCAGGGAATTACAATCTACAAAATGCAAAACTGTTCTTTAAAAATGTATTTCACAATACAGCTAAGAAGTTGGCATTCCTTAATGTATGTTGTTATAGAAAAAAAATGTTTTTAACCTGATAATGAAATCTGTAAGACCCTTTTGAAACATCCAGTTTATAAAGTTTTATATATATATCATTGTTTCTGTTTGATTGACATTAAGTCAACTGTTTGTAATTCGTGAACGTTTAACCTCGTTTTACTTTTTAGTGAGTTTACATCGACATAGGTATTCACTGCTTACTAGACAAACGGTATAGAAGTTACTCACAACTCATTTCCGCATTTATATGGGAGTTCAGCTGCATATCGCAGCATATTGTTTCATTCAGAGGTTACAAACTGGATAGCTATCTGGTGTATGAAACATTTTACTTAATCTAATAAGGACTTAACCTGTAGAAACTCTTAGCTTACAGGAATGTAATGTACGTTTATTGTCAGTGAGTGGATGTGGCAAAGAGTGTTTCCGAATGAGTTATGCTCTTGCATTTTTAGATTTCCGTTTTGAGAAAGAAGTCCGACGGAATGTGCTAGGAATGCGTTATGTTCTTCAGGTCACAGGTTACTGAAGGCAGTAATTCATTGTGGTGAAGTGCTAAGACAGATATTTACAGTACCTCTGTTATCTCCAAGTACATGGAGACACTCTTAATTGAAACGATGTGGATTATTCATCTCATAGATCCGTTTGACAAGAATCTGAGGTCGTCTTGAAGTTCTTCGTAATCACCATCCATTTAATCGATATTTCGTTGACGTTTTTTTAACAACACTTACTTTCGCCTGTTACTCCCAGTGGAGCATAGGCCGCTGACCAGCATTCTCCAACCCACTTTGTCCTGGGCCTTCTTTTCTAGTTCTATCCAGTTCTTGTTCATTCTTCTCATGTCTGTCTCTATTTCTCGGCGTAATGTGTTCTTTGGTCTTCCTCTTCTCCTTTGACCTCCAGGATTCCATGTGAGGGCTTGTCTTGTGACGCAATTAGGTGATTTCCTCAAAGTGTGCCCAATCCACTTCCAGCGCTTCCTCCTGATTTCTTCCTCCGCTGGAATCTGATTTGTTGTCTCCCACAGTAACTTGTTGCTGATAGTTTTTTAACAACAGGTCTTTAGAAATATATATATTTTGTATGATTTTGTCCTCAAAGTTGATCGCCATCTGATTGATTCGCACTTAGTTTTAGTTATCATTCGTTGTTTATGTAGCCATGGATCTATTCTAGTTGATCAGATTTTAAAACCAGTCAATTAAAAGGAAACAACCATGTTCGTTACCACGGCTTCTACTACATATATATTTTCTGTGCGGGTTATTGATTTATATCGAACATACTATGATTCCCACCCAAAAATGTAGAAGAGTGCACGTAAAACATTTTTAAAACTTCATTAAACCGTGACTGAAAGCGCACGCAGAAATCAGCTTAGGTTGAACATGAGGTCTTAATGAAATGTTTTTGTTTCACTTAAAAGAGCAAATATAGTAACTAAAAATATACTTCATAATTAACTCATTGTCTACAAGATATCAAAAGACCAAAGAAAAGGCACCATTAGAAAGTTTACAGCCAAAATCTCAAGAGAAAATTATAGCACCTCTTCTACAATCAGGTTTGTTTACGGGCAATTTTATCCAACAGTTCAATTAACTTATTCAACAAACAGTATTATTCTAATAGTAATAATTTGTCAATTTCTTGTATTATTACTGCTATTATTATTATTATTATTATTGTTATTATTATCATGTCTGCATAAACATGTATGTTCGATCACATGTGAAGGCCTACGCGCATATTCCTAACTATTTTTTTATAGGTTAGTTGTTAAAAAATCATTTGATGAATCACTCTCTTTTCCACATATATATGTTCTTTAATCTTATTGATTGCTTCGATTCGATTTGACTCGGAATCCGCCTCTGTATTCGCTTGTTCGTGCGCACCAGCCTTTTTTCTCAAATTCGTTTTGTTTGCTTGTAGAGCATTGTAGTCTATGCTATCTAATGATAAACTGTAGTTGGCGCTTCTTGATTCCTTCTGAATTTGTGCACTGTCGGGATTAATTTAATAAAGGTTATCAGGGTTATTGATAAACTAGGCCTAATTAATTATCTCCAAGTCAAGCCACCACAGAATATATAAATGTCTCTGGAATTAAGTAGTTTAAAGCTAGAAACAACCAAATTATATCACAGCCGACTTTTGAATATTACTTAGAAATTTTCTTTAGTTGCGATTTAGAATGGTATTTATCATCTTCAGCAACTTATCAAACTAAATGAGTTACCTGAGGTCTGACATTAATTTCTGAATTAATAAACAAGAAGCCTTCTATTGTCGTATAAATTTAAGACTAGTCCGTTACTTTCCAACATTGTCATATTTTAAACGTTCAAATAAAAACTGAGTAACAGTTAAGGACGGGACCAAACGCGCACGACAATGCTAAACGTTTTTGAATACTACTCACGTGTTTTACTGAACATTACACCAGAATGATTTCGGCATGTGTCTCCTCTTCGGTACATTTTAACTACATCTTTCGTGAACAGTGTCTATTCAATCTGATACGACAGTGATAATTGAGGACATTACAAATATTTAAAAGTTACATCAATCTTTTCTATTTTTAAGGACTAATGCATTTGGTTTCTTCAAATTTGAGCATTCTGTAACTCATGCATTTAAGTCAAATAATTATGGGCGATCGATTTATTATCTGTGAATTTATTTACTTGCTGGTTTTTGATTATTTTCTTATAAGAGGTGGATGAAAGTTTGAATTTTTTGATGCGTTTGAAAATTTGAATTATATTTAGCATCATCCACGAAGTGTTTTAATTTGACCGAAATATTGATTATTTTCCTCCTTATAAATCATCTTATAAGTCTGTGTATCAAAAAATCGACCCCAAGTGATCTCCAATGAACAAATTTACTGAATTTTCCGAAATGTATTCTTCATTGGCATGCATAATGATCGGTAGATCTCCAAAATGGACCACAATTATTGTCATTGGCACTTTAGGCGGTGTAAACAACTTACAACTGGAGATGTCGAACATTGTTCCGGTCTTTATTAAGTTTTAGTGAGAATTAATTAGATTAATTATCCGTATATAAATAGATCATTCTATTCATAGTTAAATTTAGAGTCAGAACTAATCTAACCTGTTATGACAACCTTGATATTTAGTTTATTGTTGTTTTTAGGTTCACTTACGGTAGTGTTTATAATATCATTTCGGGGGAAAAAGTTACACGTAAATATTCAAACAGTTTTATATTCCAGCCTTCTAAAAATAACATTGATTTCAACTTTAAGTGCCTGAAGGTACGAATACACATCGACCTAAATTCCCACATACTAACTCAGCACAGTAATATCTGATCGACAAGATGTGAGGGATCGTGGATGCGCACTGCTGAGGAGTCCCATAATAGGACGAAACGGCCGTCCAGTGCTTCCAGGTTTTCGATGGTGGTCTAGCTTCAATTGACTCATGATTTCAACTGTGAAAATACTAAATTCTCCACAAAACCCCCTCTGAAGATGTAAAATGCCAAAAACAAAGGGAAATTTTGTAGCAACTACAGTTAGTGGAAAACGAGTAGCCTTAACCGAGTCACGAAAGATTGGAATGATATCAATCTTACGATTTAGGTAGTGAATTAATGTATTTATCCCAATGCGATCATTCTCTTCATTTGTCTAGACGTCTCATTCGGGAATTTCGCATGATCAAACGTGGTCATGATCAGTAGTCAGTGAATTAAGAAACTAGTACCTTGTCCTAATTTACCCACCTTTAGCTTATTTTAACCTATTTCTATTTCCAAAAATGTCGTATACAAGTGTAAGTAGTGATCAGTAATGAGTAACAGATGTTTCAACGATTTAGTACGACGAAGATTTGTAAGCTCATAGGAGAATGTATCATTTTAACTGGTACGATGCCCCTGACATCAGTTAGCTTTAAAAATTTTGCTGAGTGATTTTTTTATTGTTAGTATATTTCCTCTTCTAGATTAAAAGTATTATTTAAACTAATAAACCAATATATATCTATCAGTTGACATGAAGTTCTAGTACGTTAGTTTGACCCCACCTATGATTACATGCCTCATACTTTATCAAAATATAATGTTATCGCTTCAATGTGTTTAAAGTTATTCTACAAAAATTTGGCTCTATATTGTATAGACTGATTCATACTGAATTCATAAATTTCATGCTGCAAAAGTCATAATTTTTAAAATAAAACTATCGATTTGTTCTGTTCTCCAAGTAAGTGTTGAAGTTTGTTAGAAAGTGGATTTCACTGACATTGATGATGTCAGCTTTTCAAATCTGGAGTAAACCTTCATCCAGTAGTTCTTTTCAGTTTCAAATAAAACCGAAGAAAGTATCTCCGTAGTGGAAAATCAATAATACTATTTTCAATTGCATTAACTGTTTGTTTAGCATGAATTTCCTCGAAGAACTTATTAGTCTCTAAAAATTTCATATACAATATTTATAGATACCTGTTTCATAGTAGCTAGTTTTGGACTTTTAAACATACTATAAAACCTCTTGTGACTAAATCGTAGCTGCAAAGTCGCTGTAACAGTTAACTACTGATGAAATTTGAAATGGAAGGAATTCAACCACTACTAAAGGACCAGACAAAAATAACACTAGTCACAACCAAATAATAAATAAATTTCAGATTTTTCAGTCCTACATAAGGTCATCAACGTCTTGAACAGCTGAGTGGTGACGTATTGGACTGTAAAGCTGTGTGGTACGGGTTCGAACTCACACAGAGCATCAGCTCCCATGACATTTCATGTACACGTTGCTGACGATCGTCAACTAGTAGGAAATTTACATTCAGAACCTCTCGTTAACTATCTGTAACCACGTAACACCAATGATACGATCAAATTAGGTATAGATTTTCAAAACTGCTATGTTTTCATGAAAAATGCTGTTCTATCAGTAGTATTAAACAGTTATATGATGAGATGTTCAATGTGCTTATCAATTACGATAAGGAAATTAAAATATATAGTTGTTCAGCTATGCATCGTTTTTAAATTGAATCTGTCCATCATATCACATTAATGGCTAGAAACATGGGAAACAAAACACGCATTATATTGTATATTATGCTTTGTCTAGGTATATAAATTGGAACTAACACGTCATTCAATAAGCTTAGAACAATTCAATCTCTCTTCAGAAGTGGTCAACTATGCGGAAAGAATTGGACGTATTATTAAAGCAATGGAAAACTCTTTGAAGGTTGGCTTTGTCACAGATGTTCTTAATTATTATATTTCGTTATCTATTTTAAGTTTATATTCTCAGTTTGCTTCAATCTAAAGGTCTAAAATACCTTTTAACTATACGGTCAAACAAAGCGAATTTGTAGGTCAGTGATATAGTTTTCACAATGGCATTCTTTGATAAAAAAAGGTCTGAGTTAAATTATTGCAAAATAAATATCACTCAAAATGATGTATAAAGTGTGCAATACTTCTAAATTTTATTGTATTTGAAAGTGCTTTTTATACCATAGCTTTCTCATTAGCAGTGTTAGTGAATAAATAAGAAATCGGTATTTTGCTCCCACACACTTTAAATTACGGCTCAAAAATGACTAATTTTGATCAAGAAAGTTTCATATTAATTGAAAATAAATAAAATAGTTCGCATTAGTGATTCTGATGAAAATGTTCTAGAGTGAATGATAGTTGGATAGATAGATAGATAGATAGTTGGATACAGTGAATTAAAAAAGTCTAGTTGGAGTTGATAAATCAGTGAGATTTTCACCTCTGTACTACACTTTCTACCTTCAGAACTGTAATAAATATTATTGTTTTACTATAAATCCAATGATTAGCATATTTTCATTTGCCTGGTGGGTTTTGCAATATTAAACAACGCTAAACAACTTCATTATGAGCAGTAAGATACAATGGACAATGACAGGAACGAAACAAACAAGCTGTCACTATCTATATTGAAGAAATCCAAACCTAAACGAATAAAATTCTTACTTATTGCAAAAGCCATTAGTCGTTTGAACTCAGTAGCTCGGTGAATAATGCTTTGGTGTTCAAAGCAAAAGGCACTGTGTTCGAGTTTCAATCATCACAGAAATAATAGCACATCGAGTTAATGAAACCGAAGTAGAACGAAATGTACATCATAGTCACTGTGGCTAGTAAAACACCACATTGGAACTTTGTCAATATTAGTCTATCACTATTAAGAACTGGGAAACTATGATATTACTGGTAACCACTGAGTGACTGGTCATTTTAGAAATTAATTAGAAATTCCTAGTTCTCCAATTTATGGTCGGGACAGAGTAGTAGGTACGATTTAATAAAATAAACAAACATTATTTGTATGGACCAGACTTTATCTATCATTGCACCCTTATATCTATTTTTCCAAAATAGATTTCAATGTCAAAACTTAACACAGATGACATTCACAAAAGGGAAATCACCTACAGTTATTAGTGTATTCATTCGTTATTTGTGTTTGTTATACAAGGAAAATAGGAATCGACCCACCTTGTAGGGTTTTTGCATTTATCTGTTTATCCACTTATTTTACCTATTCACTTCTGTTCATTGATCGTTTTAAGGGAGTGACCTTGAAAGTGGGATTGAAAAGAAGTGCAGTGGTGTATTCCTCTTCATGTAGAATAAAAATTACCTAATATTATTGGGGGCAAATATTGATGTGTGTTGAATTTGTTTCATCAGTTTGACTGCATTGTATGTGTATGCATTGTGAAATAAATAAAAACTGATAATATTTCGCCATTTGCTTTTGTGTAGATTTCTTTATCAATTTTCACTTGTAAATTTTTACATTTCCGATAGCTTTTATTTTAGTCTATATTGCTGGTAAGAAAAAGAAATTTCAGAACTGGAAAGATGGCAAAAATTTACTAATTCTATGATATTGATTTTGTCGATCTTTTATATTGAGACATGTTTCTAATGGACACAATGGATTTCAAGGGTAGCTGATGGACATATAAGTATCCTGGATCTCAGATTTGACCAGAAATAGTCCACTCTAGTTTCGTATCAATCAGTTAATACCAAACCACGCGGAAGCTGACATATATGCGTTTATTTATTTATTTATTTATTTAAACACAAATATTGATGCAAGGGGGCACCAGATATATATGCGTCATACAAAACAATGAGAATAGGAAGAGAAAAAGGGTAAGATGCATATATAAAAAACTAACAGTAGTGATGAGGAAAACTTAAATCTACAACCAGAAGATATCTTTCAGTTAAATATTTAGAACCACTCTTTATGAAGAAAGTAAAAGAAGGTTACAGCAGGCTCTCCACTGGCTTCTATTCTGAGCCATATCTGATAACGTCTCTAGCCACTGTGTTGCACCATCTCTCGGACCCCGGCCACGGAGTCGTGAAGGACCAACAGAAGTCAGCCCTTTGCAACTTTCTTTCATACCACGACACCATGTCATACACTGACCTCCTCTCCGTTTTTTCCAACCAGTCCCAGAGTCGGCAAGTAATGCATGACGTAGAATTCTCTGGGAAGACATTCGTAGAACATGTCCAAGCCATCGAAGTCAGTGTTTCAAGATGGTGACACCAATTGGATTGTTGTCTCTGCGCCTGAACACACGATGCCGAACCTCTGCATTACTAACATGGTGTTGCCACTGGATGTCAGCAATCCTTCGAAGACAACGATGATTGAACACAGAGAGACGTCTAACATCCTCAACTCGGAGAGGCCAGGTTTCACAAGCATAGAGCGAAACTGCTCTCACCGACGCGTTGTAGATCCGACCTTTTACAGCCAGACTAACATCACGAAGGCGTCAAAGATGGCCCAGATTGGCATAAGCCGCTCTGGCTTTCATTATACGTGCATCGATCTCATCAGTCACGCCACCACCAGCACTGATGTAGCTACCTAGATACACGAACTTCTCAACTACTTCAATCTGCTCACCATCTAGGGTGAGTACAGGAATAGAATCCTGCCAGTCTTGTAGGAGTACTTTGCACTTGGAGGGTGCAAAGCACATGCCGTACCTGCGGACACTGATTGCCAACTGATTAAGTGTAGATTGCATGGCTTGGGCATTATCGCACATTAGGACGATATCATCCGCATACTCGAGGTCAAGAAGTCGTTCTCCAGGCAGCAGATCCACACCGCGATCACTTACATCCATCAGAGCTGTTTTCAGAATGTCATCGATAGCAAAGTTGGAGAGGAATGGTGAGATCGGGCAACCCTGCCTGACCCCGCTGCTTGGATGGAACAATGGAGAAAGGTGGTTGTATGCCCTCACTCTGCCTGAGGTGTTCGTGTACAGGGCCTTTAAGATGTTAATAAACTTCTCAGGCACACCGTTCTTCAATAGGCAATCCCAGAGAACAGACCTGTCCAACGAATCGAAGGTAGCCCTGATATCAAAAACACTACGATTGTTGGCCTGCGATAAGTATGACGGTGTTGTAACAATTGGCGGAGGGTGAAGATATGGTCTATGCATCGTCGACCAGAACGGAAACCATCCTGCTCCTCGCAAGTCAGTTTTTCTCGGGTTTTAAACAATTAACGAAGTATGACTGAAGCCAATAGTTTGGACGCAACCGGAAGTAGACTTATCCCCCGATAGTTGTTACAGGAAAAACGTGAACCCTTTTTAAAGATAGGGACGACTACCGACTCATTCCATGATGTTGGAACGCTTTCTGACTCCCAAACCTTTGCAATCAACACAGTCAATTCCTTAGTTGGAAAGTCACCACCATCTTTAAAAAGAGCTGGAGGTAAGTCATCTGGGTCCGGTGATTTGTAGCGCTTCAGGAGTTGGGGTTCCTTGCGGACTTCCTCGTTTGGTGTATCAGTCGTCACCGACCATGGAGAGAAGGAAAATCTGGCCGATGTTGCCGAAGCAACAGGCCAGTTGAACTGCCCTTCGAAAAATTCCGCCCATCGTCCAAGATGTCGATTGATGTTAATGATTGGCATCCCGTCATCCTCACAGATTGTTTCACTCACACCAGACTTCTTACTGCCAGTGACTCGGATGAGTTGGAAGAGCTTCCGGCAGTTGCCAGATGCAGCTGCTGCTTCCATCTCATTAGCACGCTCCGACCACCAGCGTTCATTTTGGTCATACGGTCACCCGGAGTAGACCGACGGGCTTCGATCAGTTGTAAGGAGCCAGAAGAAACCCAGTGCTTATAGGCGGGACGTTTCGCGAAGCCACAGGCGACTTTACTCGCCATTTTCATGGCGTCGTGAAGATGTAGCCAGTGCTCACCAATACTTTTCGGTGGTATGGTAGCTAGCCTAGAAGCTAGCTCCGCTTGATACTTACTTGCAACCAATTTACTAACATCGATCCGTTGATGGCGGTCAATTCGTTGGACACTGAAAAGTAAGGTAAGATTGGCGCAGACTAGGGCATGATCAGACTCCAGATAGGTACTCCAAAAGGAGCGGCAGTCTTGTACACAACCACGCCAGCCGTAGCTGATCGCGATGTGATCAATCTGAGTCCAGGCTAGAGATGCAGAGGGAGGACGTTAGGTGGCACACCGGCGATGACTGTGCCGGAAGTTAGTGCTAGCCAGAAACAGGTTGTGGTCTGTGCACAGTTGCAGTAGACGGTCCTCGTTATCTGTCCTGCGACCAACAAGTCCCCATCGGCCACCTAAACGACTCTCTTCTGTGCCTAGATGCCGGACCTGTGCATTCAAGTCTCTGGCTAATACTACAATATCTGTCGAACGCGCTTTCTGGAGAAGAACAGTTAATGGTGGTAGAATTCATCCTTGATTGCATCCGGGCTGCAATCTGTCGGGGCATAGGCGGAGATGACGAAAACACATCGTTTCTCTAGCCGATTCCTTCTCACTTTGGTGGAACTTTCTAATCTAACAGCTACCTCAGCTCTAGCGCTTAGTGTGACACCAACGTCAGCAAGACCAGACAAAGATGCCACAGAGTCCCCGGATAAACGCACGTGAAACAAACTTTTCGAATCGACAGATGGAGAGGAAATTTGTATTACTTCACTAGAGTCTTGAATACGGGTCTCGGATAGACAACAAACATCAACATTAAGACTTTCTAAAAACATAGCCAGCCCTATCTGTTGTTTGATCTGCATTAGTGTGCGAACGTTGAAGGAGGCCAGTTTGAACATCGTACGTGGCTTCAGTAAAACTGGTTCAGTATTCATAATCGGTGGAAGCATTCACTTTCGACCAGACAGTGACTAGAGATCGTTTAGATGGGACAGAGTTTCCACCATGGGCGGGCTGCTGCATAAGTTGAAGAGTAAGGGTACACAAATTGGGAGTAAAAGGGGGTGAATTAGCGATATGGCAAATAATAATAATAATAAATTTCTAACTAGTCGATTCTCTATATTTAAAAGATCACAATTCATTGATATTGGTTAGTCTCATCTTACTCATATCTCGGTCAAACTACACGGACAATAGCTTCTTACTAAAACTTGTGGAATTTTTCTGCACATTAGCTATCCACAAGCAAGTGATTTCTACTAGTATGATTAAAGTTCGAAATATGAACTATTCGATATCAACTCTGTGGCTTAAAATAACAATATTAACCATGACGTATGTGTCAATAGTTTCATTTACTTGTCAGATCTGGGTGAGGACTTCCACTGTCCAGTTATGTGCTATTATGAAGAAGTTGCCTAGTATTCCATAGATCTCAATAACCGCCTAGCTAATTTCATTCCGTGATTTGGACTATCTTCCGGTAAGGTCATGTTTATTACAGACCTATCTCATTTGGAATACCGCTGGAACTGGACAACTGCTTCGTCCTAATGTGGAGCTATTCAACACTACGCATCCAAAAACCATCAGAGGTCGAACCCGATACTTCCAGGTTTTCTCAGGCAATTATATTTTTATGTCTGTCTACATAATTTCCCTTTGAAATAGTTAACCTGGAAAAAGAGGACGTATCTTTATATTCCTTTATATATTTTACTATTCTAAATTATTAGGCGCTTGTCTCTTGGACGGAAGAAGAAGTTTCCAAATACTCTTGGAATCCTAAATTAAAGGTAAATGACAAAAAATGACTTTTTGTACATTTTTTTTCCTAAATAGTCAAAGCTTTTATTCGTAAGGGTTCTCATTACCGATCAGTCAATATTAGCTAATGCATATCTGGACGCAGTAGCTCACTGGATTGTGCTCTCAGTGTGAAAATCAACATTGGGATGGGGTAAATTCATCTGACAAGTACTACATAGAACAAATAGTGCTCCTTGGATGCCATGATTAATTACCATATAACGAGTAAAATCAAAAGGCTTTTGTAGTAGTCTTCAAAATACGGCAAATGAAAAACATTAAATTAATATGCTGAAATGGCGAAATTGATTTTGTTGCAACTTGTGATGATGGCCAGAATGGAAACAAAAGCATTGCGATTCAACTATTCAGTCACTAAAAAACACAGTGTGACACGAAAGGTCCACCTGAGGTATTTATTTTTTTTACCATTTCAACAGAAGCACTTGTACGTTTGATGTCATTCATAACTTGCGAAATCTGAAATTCATCAAAAAGGTTATGACTAGTATTGCGACATAACTAGTTTCAAAACAATACAGATCAGTGAGTAAAGGTGATACAGGATGAGATAGACTTTATATTATTATGCGCGGTATCCTAGACCTAGTGCTGTTACACAACGTGCTATGCGCTAACCCCCGACTAACTACTTAAGCAATAACACAAGAGCGAAAAGGAAAGCCTATTGGGTTATCTAATATAAAATAAATTTGGTTAAATGTCTCAGCCACAGAATCAAGCTATTATATTCTGAGGACGGTGTTGATATTGAAATAGATATACTAAAAAATATATTGCGAAGTAATGGCTACCCAGATAAGTTCGTTAAGAAATACCTAGTAGAAAATACTATTAAAAAAATAAGAAATTGTGACACAGTGAGTAAAAAACGTTGTATCTAAAACTGGACTTCAAAGGTGACATAGCGGATTATATTCTAACACGCCGACTGAAACGATCGGTTGAAAGGACGTTTTACGCCGCCAAGCTACACATCACTTTCTCAACTAAACCAGTACTTACACAATTAATCAAGGATAAGTTACCGAAGATGGGCTCTTCCATGTGTGTATACCAATTCAACTGCTCCTGTGGAGCTAGTTACATAGGCCGTACTCAGAGGGCTTTATCCTTGCGTATTCGTGAACATGTACCAACATGGTTTGGAAAAGGAGTCACTAAATCCATTAACAACGTCATCCTTTCTCACTTGGTAGACAGTGAACATCATATCAAAATAGAGGAAGCCTTCTCTGTTTTATATCAAGTTCCGAAAACTTTACCTCAAAGAGCTAGATTACGATTACTTTACACAGCCGAAGCCATCTGGATCAACGCCAAAAAACCAAACTTATGCATTCAGAAAAGGTATATCCAGCCACTATGTTTACCTTGGCCTACGACTGGATAACCGGATTCCTAAACTAAATATTATAAACCTCCCCCTTTTTTTCTTTCTTTTTTTGTTGATAACCTCTATCTTAATCCTCACATCCATCATTCCCAATTCGTTCATCTTAATTACCTTGACAATACCCTCTTTTATTACATATTATATTCACACAACAATCTTATTACTATTACTATTTATCTTTATTATCTCAATTAACAAAATGGGATTCTCCTACTATGAATTTTATTCACACAATTTTTTTCGCATTTTCATTTTTCCTAAATTACTATTATATTGATTGTGACTGGACACTTGAGTACAAATCATTTCGACCTTTATCAAATGCAATTATATGAACGAAGAATATTCTTTTCAATAATTTCTCATCAATAATTTCTCTACAATTATAAATTAATAATCCATATAAAAATTGGCCAAGTTTAGGGCAGAGTACATCATTTAAGAGAATCGAATTGTTAATGTTGGGATGACTAATATGTAGTGTTAACTTGAATCAGTTTATAAGTGAAATAAAATCGTAAGATAAATGATCGGAATATATATAGTTGACATAGGGTGAGATAGAACAATGGGATTACAAATCAGAAATTACATAATATGTAGAATGACTGGTAAGATGTGTAGATAAAATAAGTTTAAGATATAAAAATGAACATTAATTTTCAAATAACACAATTTTGAAGCATATATGTCGTAACAGATGCAAACGTTCACCATTTTTAACATATAACGTTGTCAAATTAATTGATATATGCCTCATTTTGGCCTTTGTAAAATATCACAATCATTATGGACTTATCACTGTAGAGCCTGATGATGAAGTTATTGAAAACAATTGTTCGCTCAAATATTGCTCATTTTTGAACATATATATAACCCTTAGGAAATCAATCCATTTCTTAGCCAATGGTATGCATTTGTCCTTAAGGATATTTCTAACTTTCATCAAGTAATCTCACTTGGTTGCTTCTGATTGGATCATTAAATCACTTTATTTTGAGTGCTTTAATTAGTCAGTTGTGGTTGACATGGGGCCTAATACGAATGTGTGCTTTGGCCCAAGTTACCATTCTCATACTAGCTCGACAGGACGAAATTAACAAGATGAATAGAATAACCATTGAAACAATTTAGTGACAATCATAAAGAAAAAAACTAAACCCTGAGACTATGGTTCTAAAAGATAGGACGGAAAGTTATATATGAAGGAATACCAAAAATCAAAACCTAGAGGAAGACAAAGAGTGGATCCTTTCGCACCACTACCACCGACCCTGACCCTGGAGTCTCCAAAAAACGATAACCAACTTCATTGTTGGATTATAATAACGGTTCATTTAAGGATATGAAAGTTAACAGAGTTCTAAGACTAAATAGGCAAGTAGATAAATAAAACAGGCGAAGCCGAGCTGTAAGGGTGAGAGAATCATGAACAAACAGCTCAATTGGGAGTTTCGTTTCAAATATCAAGAAGGAGTGCTGACTATCAATTGCAATATAAATAACCTCACTTTCCAGTTGCTGCCCATCGGTTGTGTTCCGAATAATCTCACAGAGGAAAATATCTTAAACTTCTTAAGATGTTGTAGTGTCAATTAATATGTGTTAAGCCTATATACCTTATTCTGGCTTAAGGACAAGCCAATTTACATACCCATCGTGAGTCACGTTTTGACCTTGTTAATTATTCACTTATCAACCTTGACTGTTTTTTATATAAGCGTATGTGTCACGCTTTTTATTTTATTCATCACTTGTCTGTAATTTATTTTTATCTGACTACAAATATTGATTAACGCTTGATAAAAGCGTATTGGCTTACCCGCCATCTCCAATGCGTGTCATTTCGGCTTCTCTCTCTTCTATTCCCTTTATCACTCTTATTTCCTGTCCAGATCAATGAATGTACAAAATATATGTATTCGAGATCCATTCTCGTATTTGACTTCGTTATCCATCAACGTCATGTATTACATACGAGGATAGGCAGGATGTATATTTTGACAATAACCAACCATTTATATGATCTAAATGGAGTCAGATTAAGGCATCTACAATGTATCGACTTGTTCGGACAAGGATTTAGGATTAAGATTTACAGTTTAGGAAATTATAGTAAGGTTTGAATTAGGATTAAGAATATAGGATACAGGGTTGGTGTTAGATTGGGGATTAGGTTACTTAGAGACTAGCTATGATGTCCAACCTAAATCCTGAGCCATAAATCTTAAACTAAGCATAATAACCCCGAGCCCAAATCCTAGTCCAATGATAATAGAGCAATCACTCGTAACTACTATTCTCCAAACGGCTGATTACTGTCAAAAACTGTCAATTTCATTTCAAGTGCCTCTCAAACTCATCCTTATAGTTCAGCTTGACAATAATATGTCATATACCACCTCTTACTTTCTTTATGCTTAGGTAAAGATTTCATCTCTCTTTCTCTTCATCTCTTTCATACACAATTTTTCAATTCATTAGCCAGACATCATAAAGTATAACGATCTACGTGAGCTAAAACTTGGTGATAAACGGCTGGTTGATGCGCCTGGTTATCATTTCAAAATTATACCAAATAAATCAGGTGTTCATTTACCGGTAGAAGTATATAATGGGGGTAAGTATTCGTAGCATTTTCTCTCACGTTAATTTAACTTGTATGTTATTTTTAAGGGTGACAGATAGCAGTTGAATGTTTAACAAGTCGTTTCACGACACGACTGAAGTTATAGGTGTAGACTATAGGATTCTAATCGTTTGGTTCAACCCCCTGATTATTCTAAGTTCGATTCCTTGCAGCATTTTGGGTGCCCATTTCCGAGGACTTCATACTAGTATGTAATATTTCAAGCGGAGAACAATAAAAGCACATTCTTAATCAAACGAGTCAACCAGGTTAGGAGTGAAAAAGTTACCAACCCGTGATGATATAAGATAATTATTATAGTTTACTGAAAGTAGACTAATTTAAGAATATTCTAGGGACATTAAATTAATTTTGACGTGGGTTTGTTCTCTGAGCTGGATGGTTTGGCCGTGGAGCTTTCATCGTCCTTCTGAACGATATCATCAGCACAAACTTCGGGTAGAAGTAAAGTGTTTAAATTTCTCCACATGTGATTCACAGCTTGTCCTGTGCACCTCGATGTTGATTGGTTCTTATTGACCTTAAATCTGTCATTGTTTATTTCTTTGTTTTGGTTATATCTCCTATTTGTTTTGATTTTTGCTCCTATGTTTCTGCATAATTTTCTTGATTGGTTGATAGATTGGATTAATTTCAATGTGTTTGTTTATTGCAGATTGACCTGAGTGCCATTTTTTTTAATTATTTATTTTATTTATTTAAACACATACATATTGGTACAAAGGGCACCAGATACATATGCGCCACACAAAATAATGAAAATAGGAAGAGAAATGATGAAAAGATAAGGGGAACTGAAATGTAAACCAGAAGAACTCTCTCAGTTAAGAAAGTAATAACAACTCTTTATGAAGAAAGTAAAAGAAGGTTACAGCAGGCTCTCCACTGGCTTCTATTCTGAGCTATATCTGATAACGTCTCTAGCCACTGTGTTGCACCATCTCTCGGACCCCGGCCACGGAGTCGTGAAGGACCAACAGAAGTCAGCCCTTTGCAACTTTCTTTCATACCACGACACCATGTCATACACTGACCTCCTCTCCGTTTTTTCCAACCAGTCCCAGAGTCGGCAAGTAATGCATGACGTAGAATTCTCTGGGAAGACATTCGTAGAACATGTCCAAGCCATCGAAGTCAGTGTTTCAAGATGGTGACACCAATTGGATTGTTGTCTCTGCGCCTGAACACACGATGCCGAACCTCTGCATTACTAACATGGTGTTGCCACTGGATGTCAGCAATCCTTCGAAGACAACGATGATTGAACACAGAGAGACGTCTAACATCCTCAACTCGGAGAGGCCAGGTTTCACAAGCATAGAGCGAAACTGCTCTCACCGACGCGTTGTAGATCCGACCTTTTACAGCCAGACTAACATCACGAAGGCGTCAAAGATGGCCCAGATTGGCATAAGCCGCTCTGGCTTTCATTATACGTGCATCGATCTCATCAGTCACGCCACCACCAGCACTGATGTAGCTACCTAGATACACGAACTTCTCAACTACTTCAATCTGCTCACCATCTAGGGTGAGTACAGGAATAGAATCCTGCCAGTCTTGTAGGAGTACTTTGCACTTGGAGGGTGCAAAGCACATGCCGTACCTGCGGACACTGATTGCCAACTGATTAAGTGTAGATTGCATGGCTTGGGCATTATCGCACATTAGGACGATATCATCCGCATACTCGAGGTCAAGAAGTCGTTCTCCAGGCAGCAGATCCACACCGCGATCACTTACATCCATCAGAGCTGTTTTCAGAATGTCATCGATAGCAAAGTTGGAGAGGAATGGTGAGATCGGGCAACCCTGCCTGACCCCGCTGCTTGGATGGAACAATGGAGAAAGGTGGTTGTATGCCCTCACTCTGCCTGAGGTGTTCGTGTACAGGGCCTTTAAGATGTTAATAAACTTCTCAGGCACACCGTTCTTCAATAGGCAATCCCAGAGAACAGACCTGTCCAACGAATCGAAGGTAGCCCTGATATCAAAAACACTACGATTGTTGGCCTGCGATAAGTATGACGGTGTTGTAACAATTGGCGGAGGGTGAAGATATGGTCTATGCATCGTCGACCAGAACGGAAACCATCCTGCTCCTCGCAAGTCAGTTTTTCTCGGGTTTTAAACAATTAACGAAGTATGACTGAAGCCAATAGTTTGGACGCAACCGGAAGTAGACTTATCCCCCGATAGTTGTTACAGGAAAAACGTGAACCCTTTTTAAAGATAGGGACGACTACCGACTCATTCCATGATGTTGGAACGCTTTCTGACTCCCAAACCTTTGCAATCAACACAGTCAATTCCTTAGTTGGAAAGTCACCACCATCTTTAAAAAGAGCTGGAGGTAAGTCATCTGGGTCCGGTGATTTGTAGCGCTTCAGGAGTTGGGGTTCCTTGCGGACTTCCTCGTTTGGTGTATCAGTCGTCACCGACCATGGAGAGAAGGAAAATCTGGCCGATGTTGCCGAAGCAACAGGCCAGTTGAACTGCCCTTCGAAAAATTCCGCCCATCGTCCAAGATGTCGATTGATGTTAATGATTGGCATCCCGTCATCCTCACAGATTGTTTCACTCACACCAGACTTCTTACTGCCAGTGACTCGGATGAGTTGGAAGAGCTTCCGGCAGTTGCCAGATGCAGCTGCTGCTTCCATCTCATTAGCACGCTCCGACCACCAGCGTTCATTTTGGTCATACGGTCACCCGGAGTAGACCGACGGGCTTCGATCAGTTGTAAGGAGCCAGAAGAAACCCAGTGCTTATAGGCGGGACGTTTCGCGAAGCCACAGGCGACTTTACTCGCCATTTTCATGGCGTCGTGAAGATGTAGCCAGTGCTCACCAATACTTTTCGGTGGTATGGTAGCTAGCCTAGAAGCTAGCTCCGCTTGATACTTACTTGCAACCAATTTACTAACATCGATCCGTTGATGGCGGTCAATTCGTTGGACACTGAAAAGTAAGGTAAGATTGGCGCAGACTAGGGCATGATCAGACTCCAGATAGGTACTCCAAAAGGAGCGGCAGTCTTGTACACAACCACGCCAGCCGTAGCTGATCGCGATGTGATCAATCTGAGTCCAGGCTAGAGATGCAGAGGGAGGACGTTAGGTGGCACACCGGCGATGACTGTGCCGGAAGTTAGTGCTAGCCAGAAACAGGTTGTGGTCTGTGCACAGTTGCAGTAGACGGTCCTCGTTATCTGTCCTGCGACCAACAAGTCCCCATCGGCCACCTAAACGACTCTCTTCTGTGCCTAGATGCCGGACCTGTGCATTCAAGTCTCTGGCTAATACTACAATATCTGTCGAACGCGCTTTCTGGAGAAGAACAGTTAATGGTGGTAGAATTCATCCTTGATTGCATCCGGGCTGCAATCTGTCGGGGCATAGGCGGAGATGACGAAAACACATCGTTTCTCTAGCCGATTCCTTCTCACTTTGGTGGAACTTTCTAATCTAACAGCTACCTCAGCTCTAGCGCTTAGTGTGACACCAACGTCAGCAAGACCAGACAAAGATGCCACAGAGTCCCCGGATAAACGCACGTGAAACAAACTTTTCGAATCGACAGATGGAGAGGAAATTTGTATTACTTCACTAGAGTCTTGAATACGGGTCTCGGATAGACAACAAACATCAACATTAAGACTTTCTAAAAACATAGCCAGCCCTATCTGTTGTTTGATCTGCATTAGTGTGCGAACGTTGAAGGAGGCCAGTTTGAACATCGTACGTGGCTTCAGTAAAACTGGTTCAGTATTCATAATCGGTGGAAGCATTCACTTTCGACCAGACAGTGACTAGAGATCGTTTAGATGGGACAGAGTTTCCACCATGGGCGGGCTGCTGCATAAGTTGAAGAGTAAGGGTACACAAATTGGGAGTAAAAGGGGGTGAATTAGCGATATGGCAAATAATAATAATAATTATTATTATAATTATAATAATGCAAATTGTCTGACATATAGTAAGGGTGTAAGTAGGATTGTCAGTACAAGTCATCATTTCATTTATTTGTGTTGGGGCTGTGATACTGCCCGGGTTCCCAAACCGAAGCAGGTAGTTTTCTTAGGGGCTAGCACCCCGAGCCTTTGACCTAAGGTCTAACCCACAAGGCAGTGGAGCATCGTGAGGAGATGCAGTCCAATGGTAACCGGTGGCCAACAATTGATTCATACGCCATTTGCTCCTTCAGGATACTGGAGTCCATGTGCACCATTGGTTTGAAATCAGGGTTTTCCAATTCCCCTAGGTGGACTCGCCATGTCCACCAGCCCGGTTAAAGTGCCGGACATTCTCTTTTCGTCCTTTCACTTTTGTGAACAACACCCCCGCCACGAGAAGGCAGTGAGTAGGACTTCCCTGGCAGAGGCTATATATTCGCGTGGCCATGTGAGAGCATTTGGAGAGGGGGCTGGCCTCTCCCTACTCTCGGCCGTACCAGGGCATTTGGGGGCATGGTTGGAGGTGTTCATCAGGAAACCCTGAACCCGGGTTTCGTGCTACTTGGCACTTGTCAGCAAGGTGTACCTATAATCTTGGGGGAACTGGTGCTTCCTGACGGATTCGATCCCGTGTCACTCAGCCTCACAGTCAGAGACGTTACCACTGAGCTATCCGGGCCGCTTCTAGAAATTCTCTGGTGTTTTTGGAATTTCCTTTGTCCAAAATCTGCACATTTTTTCAGTCGAATGTATGTCCGTAGTTGTCCACGTGTATTGATATGAGTGAAAAAATGTCGTGGCGTTTGACTGCTAATTGATGTTCATGTAGGCGAAGATGCAGGGGGCGTCCGCTTTGTCCGATATAGTGTTTATCGCAGTTGGTACAATTTATGTTGTAGATGATGTTTGTTTTGTCTTCTTTTGCTGTTTTATCTTTTGGTTTGCATAAGATTGAGTGGAGGGACTTTGTTGGTTTGTGGGCTACATCTATTCCGAAGGTTTTCAGCAGCCTTGTT